GTTGACTGGAGAGACTTCTAGGATTTGACATATGCTGCAAGAATCTGCCAGCAGCTGTTGATAGTAGAAAAATAAAATCTTCCAATCAGAGAACAGCAGAAGTCACGTCCCCTTTTCTGAAGAGTAGAGATCACCAGCACCCAATGATATCCTCAAACATGTCCATTTAATTGGACAAAATGTCACAGTAACAGCAAGCCAACGTTTCGGAACCACACAGGGTCCCTTCCTCAGGGAAGAAAAACGGTTTTTTTTTAAGGTCACGTTTTTCTGCCCTGAGGAAGGGACCCTGTGCGGTCCCGAAACGTTGGCTTGCTGTTACTGTGATGTTTTGTCAAATTAAATGGACATGTTTGATGATATCATTGAGTGCTTGTGGTTTGTGTCTCTACCCTGTGTCTACAGGGAGCCATCCGTGGTTGTCACTGCGAGCACCGTTTTCTACATATGCCTGGATTGCTGCAAGGTGTGCGGAAGGCTTCCCCATCTACCCATCACTTTTCTGAAGAGACTAGTAAAACAAAATTGAAAATTGGTATGGTGGTTGTGGGTGGGGTATCCTGTGCCGACAGTGTTCCTCAGTGGACAAGATTTTTAAAGATGCTTACACTGAGTGGTTCTTCTTACCATTAATGACATAAATATGAGCTCCTTTAGCAGTTATCTTAATACAGCATATTCAAATCACTACAAGAAACAAATACCTACCAGATTGTACTATTAAATTAGCTTTTCAAGTTTGAGTTAAAGCAGAATTATTATAGATATAAAAGACCCACATTCAATTTATGAAGTCGCCAAGAATCTTTAAATGTATTCTTTTATAATTGGTCTGATTTATTAAAGGAGAAAAGAGATTCATATAAACAACAAATGTTAATATGAATTTCAATTATCCAATTGTGCAGATGAAGTAAACATGAATTTGCTTTTCACATGATTAAAGTGAATATTCACACTATTGTGTGAAGATTCTCAAACTCTTTTAGCAAATCAGCCTCAATATCTGTTTTTTTGTTTTTCTTTAGCAACCCAAAATTCACTGCATAGGAGGAGGACAAGTAAGTCAGATGGACACGACTACATTGCACGGTACTACCTAAACTTACAGAGGAGGAGAGAGCAGAGTGATGACTTCCGTATGCTGCTATCCCTTCATTATCCAAACACAGGCTTTGGCAGATCCATGACCAATTTGTATTACTCTACTTGCAGTTGAGAACAGTGAAGTCAGTTGATTGGCAGAGGTAAGTGATAATCAAGAGAAACTGACCAGCACTGCAAATCCTTTGGCAGTTAAACTGCACCTACCGTATGTAATTTAACATTAGCAGATTGCCTACAGTTCCGTTTTAAATCTAGTTAAAACCCATAATACACATGACGTATATACATTGAGGGGTCCATACAGTCTGCCAATTTACTTTCCATTTAATGCTTTTGTCTGTTTGTCTCAGTGATGTTATTCGTGAAAGCATATATTGCACCAACTGAATGCCAAGAGAGTACAAAGGTTACTGACATTCAGAATCTATCATAGTGAAAGGTTACATCTTATTCTGATCAATTTTGAAAATGGGCTATTTTAGTGCTGCAACTAGCAATATGGGTAAATGTCATTTGTGAGAAAAATGCACTGTGAGCCAAGCACGAACTGGCAGGGTCGAGTTCGGTCCCCGAGTGCAGATGCGTAATTCATGAAATAAATTAGATGCTTAATGGTATACACTAAGATCGTCCTACGCAATGCTCTGTGCCCCTGCAAAGTTTGTCACACTGGGGAGGATACAATTTATTGCCTATGTGAAAGCTGATAACTTTATGTAATATTCGGATAATAAATTATACTCGCACTCACTTGGTAGTTGTCGCTCTCACATTGCAGATTGAATGTTTTAGGTCTTTATTATGACAATAACGGGCGAAACATGAGCAAAGCTGCAAGTATCCAATGTGCTCGCATCACTTGCTGCAATTATGAATCACCTACCAGCTTCCTGCTTCTCTCCCCAATGCTCAATGGATACCATATGAAGACCATATGACCATTAACAGTCACCTAAATCTGTCTCAAGGTGTGAACTAGTCTCGTTTGTAAAATTAGAGAAGCTCCTCTTTATATTTATTCATATTATTGCTTATTTCTTACAAATATTCTCAAAGAAAAAGTGAGCTCACAAATCGATTCATACAGACTGTAAAAAAGTGAACAGCAAACTAGGACTGCAACTAATTATTATTTTCATAAATCGATTCGTTTGCCAATTATTTTTTCAATTAATCAGATTAAAAAAAAAAAAAAAATATCATCCTTAAATATGAAATAAAATACACAAATACAGTGTTACACTGTTTACTTCAGAATAAAACTGCATGCAAAATTTTTTGCAATCGCACTGCAAAGCACGGCATTGGGGTACCATGCATTCCAGTGCGGGTGATCACACTGTGGGTGGGAGGCAGGTTTGGGGTGCCACTTAAATGTAAGGCACTGCAACGCAACTCCAGCAGCAGAATGTGTCAGGCTGAAATCAAAAATTACTTTTTTCCCACCTTTTATAATTTGTTTTTTTAATAATTGTATTGTGAGCACATGGCGCTTGAATAGCTTCAGCCAGGGAATGACAACTGCCAGTGGCAAGATTCCGCAGATGGCGACTGAATGTATATACAGCAGGTAGTGGGCTGGTGCAATAAGCCACCTTGCTATTGGCCATTTCAAACTGCAATAGCCAATAGCAGACTGGCTATTGCACCCGCCCCATTGCTTGCTGTGCCCTCCCTTCCAGTGTGGAGGAGAGGTGAGCTAGGGGATCCAACTAACTATTCTCATAATCGATTTATTGGTTGCAGCCCTAAAACAAACCCCTATAAAAAAAGATATACATTTCCCAAATGAATAGCAACTGATTTAGGTTCTCATTTTAGCTTTCTTATATATCTATTGCCACACAACGATACGGTTTGATTTTCTCTTTTTGCCTGTATTCCAAAAGCACATCATTGACACTTGCATTTCACAGTACCAGTCCTAGATGCAACAGGATTAAAACTATACACAGGAAAACAAGTAAACCCTCAGTACAGGTATTGTAAAATGTATATTTAAGTGAACTTGCAATGATAGAGAGATAAGTGATGCTATGGCAGACTTGCCTTTAAAGGTGCAGGCTCTGGGCTGTATCCCTCATTTTGGTTGTGCTTACTTAGTCATTGACTTGGAAAAACATACAGGCAGTGAATTCCAAAATCTTTGAACTGTGATCAGGCCAGTAACTCACTAAGTACTGAAGTCAGGAGAAACATAACAGCCTCAAAGCCTGCACCTGTTCAGCAAAGGCAGCTCTCAAACCTCACAGACTATAGAAAAATGAACAGATTTAGGGTTCAGACCTCTCCGTTCCTGTGCATTGCATTAAGGCAACTCATTCAAATGACTGGGCTGCCATGAAAACAGACCATTTCTCCAGTCAGTGCATCAGAAAGCATTCACTGAAAAGCATGTGCGTCAGGTTAATGGATTAGGGTGCCATTGACAATGAATGGCACCACTCCTGCTAACGCCCATAATGTGCATCGACACGTTCCCACAACGCACAGCACTGTAGAGATCTGAATGGACCCAAATATTCAATATGTAATGTATGATCTAAGATCTGATGTTAGCTTTGAGCTACTCTAAGAAAATGATTCAGAAGCAGACAATTGATTCCAGGATGGTGGTAATGAAGACCACGTGCCAGTTTTGCAAGGTCTTGATTGCGCGGCTTTCCCTGGCATCCGCTGCCACACATTCTTCCATTTGGCTGATGGGAGCATAATTGGACTTGTGATATTCCCATTGATGTGCATGCTTCACAGACCTCAGTCTTAATCCATCCAAGTGCCTAAGCTGTAAATATCCTTTCTGGACTACTGAACAGAATTAACATTAAAAAAAAAAGTCAACTGTTCTGTTTAATGTTTTGAAGCCTAACCGCCTTTAGTGTTACATCATTTTCCATTTTGTAACATTGAGGTTTTGGCCAGGAGAACGGGAATCATAGATAGTTTCCTGTTTTACAACTTGAAAATATAATCTCAGATATGGAATCCTGGCAATCTTCAATCAGCTACTGTCTCTTGTGTTCAGATAATGCTCAATGTCTTAAAGGGGACCTTTAACGTTCCCTTGAACACTGCCCAATTATTTAAACCACTCCACAAGGTAACAGTGAGATTCTCCCTCACATTCCCATATTGCAAGCAATAGCTGAAACTTCACCCTACTTTTATTCCCATTCACTCTGCATACAAAATCTCTGTCTGGTATAATACACTCACAAACATTCGTTATATCGGACTGTAGGAGCTGAAATATAATATAAACCTTCCACCATAGATTCAACAATAACTCACCTTACTACCTCTAAATTTAAGAGCCCAACAGCTTATTAACATGTCAGCATCAAACCTGAATTGTGTACATATCTCCATTTTATTGGGATAGAGAGGGAAATATAAAACATTTACTGAGAAAACATCTGGGTGGCCGCTACCAAACACTGGCCTTCATCTTGTTAAAATGAAAGAGGTAATCTCTTCACCTGCTGGAGTACAGTAATTCTGCATAATGGGGCAATATTTCAATACGCTACAAACAAAGGACTGCAATACACGGCCAGTTTATGTTGTGTGCTGGAGAGCTTGCTTTGTAAATATGTTTTCTTTAATGAGCTCAGATCTTCAAAACCGAGAAAGGAAACGAGGACACAAGTTTTTCTTCCTACATCGTCTCTGACTTTTATAGGTTTTCTTCATGGAAAAAAAAGATGTGACGTCTTCCAGGGATCACAGAACAAATAGCCATAACAGGATGTATTTTAATATAATGATGAAAGACAAAGGCTGCAGCCAAAATTATGCTGAATGTTTGAAACAGAATCCTTGCTTGTCAAATTGTGATAAAGAAAAAAGTAAAATGTAAAAAAAAAAAAAAAAAAAAACGCCCCCCCCCCCTCCCCCAGATGCAGCCTATTAAAATCTTTTCCTTTTGATAATTTCAGGTTTCCAGCTCATTGGATGAGTTTCTTCAGTCTGAAAGAAGGAGAAACAAAATTTTGAATAACTTATTTGTAAGACAATGTTTTATTTACAACAACACTTTTTAATATGATTTTTGGAAAAGTATTATGAGTATCCCCCAAGCAAACCTTTTTAGCCTGGGCTTATTCAGACAGGTGTCCACGCCCGTAAAAAGTTAGAGTGAGTTGACTGCGTGCAACAGCCTGTTCTTCTCTAAGGGATGACGCGGCTGCACACAATTACATGCGGTCACATGCACACCTGAACCTGCACATCCGGCCGGGTCTGCGTGCCCGCACCTTGACGCACACCGTCTGTGTGCAAGTGTAGACACCCGGATCCACATGGATGTGCAGGTTCAGGTGTGCGTGGGTACGCGTACCTGAACTAAGGTGCACCGTCTGTGTGCAAGTGCAGACACCCAGATTCACACGGGTGTGCAGGATCAGGTGTGCGTGTGACTGCGTGTAATTGTAAGCAGCTGGGTCCTCTCATAGGGAAGAACATGCTGATGTGCACAATTACAAGCAGCACCTGTCCCTTCCGCGATCGGGTCTTTTTACAGGTGTGCACACTGTAAAGGTGCCCACACACCTTGCAACCGTTTCTACTGTACGGTCACACGACTTTTGTCTTACGAACATGTTCGAAAACCAGCCGAGAATCGTACGATTTTCAGCTGGTTTGTGGCATGATCGTAAGATAATTGCCGCACAGGCCGGTGTGCACAAGCGTACACTGCCCGTTCAGCATTGTGGTCATCGGAAGCCCGCCCCTCAGCAAAGCGGGCTTGCGATTGTCGCAAGTACGATCTGCCTGTCCAAGATGGGCAGATCGTATGTTTTTTCAATGACCTTACAACCATCGCAAGACCAAGTCTTGCAATGGTTGTAAGGTGTGTGGCCAGCTTAAGGACGTGTATGCCCGTCTGAAGCAGCCTACAGAATGAACCATAAAATCCACACTGCTTGTCAGCATTACCAAATTACATTAATTTGGAGTAAAAAAAAAAAAAAATGATATCCAACTTGCAATAACTAAGAAAATACTGTTCCTGAGCAATCTAGTGCAACCTATAGCCTAGGCAAAATAGATTGCATGGTCTCTGGATACCAGGAAAATTAAGAGTGCTTTACATCCCTTTACAGAATGCAGTTAATCATTTTGAGACAGACCATGTCTGATAGACTGCCACTGCGATAAGAGGTTCAAAAAGGCAAACATTGTGCACCACCTCTAAGCAGAAATCAACAACTTCAAATGGGAAGTGCATCTGTTCCCCTATACATAGATACAGTACATAGTCAATTGTGTGTGTACAACTGACTATTACATCTACCTATATGGGCAAAAGTATGTGGATGCTCATTCAAATATAGAGTTCAGGTGCTTCCATTAAAGGGTATTGCTAATTCAACAGCACACCCAGACATTTTAGACAACTGTATGTTGCCAGCGATTTTCTGCTCCAGCAAGACTATGCCCCTGTGCACAAAGCAAGCTCCATAAAAACATGGTCTGACAAGTTTGGTGAGACACTGAGTGGCTTGCACAGAGCCATTACCTCCAATGTATTGGACACGGTTTTGAAGAACTGGGATGATCGCAAGCTAGGTCTTTTTGTCTAAACATCAGGGACTGATGCTCTTTTGGCTGAATGGACACAAATGACTAAAAGACACACTGCAAAATCTCTAATCCAGAAGATTTTAAACAGCAAAGGAAGTGGGGCAACTCCATATAACTGCCCAATGTCCAGAAAGCTTATAAAAGGTGCGGTGGTCATGTGTTCACAAACGTTTAGCCATATAGTGCCATTACAAACTACATACAGAAACAAGCAAACTTACATCTTTTTTTACATGAACTTAAAAAAAACATTGACAATTCTTTATCTGAATTTACCATAAATCTGAAAACTATTTCATCGTGATTTTTAGATTTGTAAATGCGAACTTCTTTTCATGTTCAGGTTTTAGCCATTAGACTAGTTTTTTGAGGATGTTTAGAATTTGCAAAGCAATATTAGGAGTCAAGAATATTCTATTCCATTGACTCTGGTGAAACCTAGAATTAAACGTTTGATTCATTTTCAGGCCCACTGACTACCAGGTTTATGGGAATGGTCCACGTCTGGATTAAAAGGCCTATTGTCCATTAGCAGCCACCACACAGGATTTCCTCATATTACTTTTTGAAATCACAAGCTAAGAGAGGAGGTAGATGTTTAGGGTTGATTACAGCTTGCTAGGATTTTGTGCTCACTTCTTACAGCAGGCTGTGCAGGAAATAATGTCCTGCAAAATCTTACATATAAAAAGGTGGCTAAAATGATTGCTTTCTGGCATTAAATGTTTCTAAGTAAGAACCACAAAAGTTCAAGGTAATCATTTATTCAGCTGGTTATAAAGCGGTTTCAATAATTTATCTGACTACTCAAATGAAAAATGTCCTCAATGTGATCTTTCTATCGGATGACAGCAGCGTTCCATAAATCTAATTAAAAAGAAAGACTGCTGAGCAGAGTCTCATTAGAGACCTGCAGATACGCTAAGGACAAAAGTATGAGAGGAAAATGAAGGCATCCAGGTTTGGACAAAAAAAGAAAAGAGTTCAATGCATGTCTGGTTAAACATCTACAAATATCTCCCAACAATAAATGCCCTAAATCCTCCAGTGCAGGTCACATGCCCAAGCCACCAATGCCTTCAAGATGTAAGGCAAGTACTTTAACAGATTCCTCTGTAGTGTTTTGGGGTAGTCGGTAATAAAAGCATTTTAAAGGCTATGTCTATGCAAAACTGACAGTTTATAGGAGACACCAGGATAGGAAGTACAGCAGTGATCTCTTCCTTTTGTGAAGCAGGAATCCCCCTTTTGTAGTATAAATGAATTACCAAATCTCAAAAAACTCATAATCAGACTTTTCACGTACCAATCCACACAAAATACCTATAAAAGCAACTGATCTTTAATATTTTTTTTTTTAAAGATAATTTTTATTGATTTTTGCAAGTGTCAGAGACACAACAATGATAACAACAACACCATCAACAAACAACAATTGGGTCAACATAACCCAGGCATTTACACATCAGTACACTCTCTATGTTTGTCACGAGGTTGCAAGGTTACACAAGCTGTGGATGCAATATTCAAGGTTCAAGACATGGTGATAAAGCTCTAAGATAGGTATCACAGAACATTGAGAAACCAACTCAGCCACATATATCAGCCGACCAAGAGTATCACCTAGGACTCATAGGTCCAGGACTGGGGGACTCAGGGCCAAAAGTTAGTAGTACTACCCCGTTTCCAAATTTGTGTTTGAGGAGGCCAGCCATGGGTCCCATATGCGGCCAAAGCGTGTCGGGTTACCTCTCTGCTCGTATGTTAGTTTGTAAATGGGGAGTGCTTGATTGATCAGTCTTTTCCATTCGCCCAGGGTGGGGGCCGTCTGGCTACCCCAGACTAGGAGAATGGTTTTCCTGGCATAAAATAACAGGAGGCGGATGAGTGTCTGAGAACGGGAGGCCAGTGCTAGCTCCCCAAAGAGACCCAGGAGGCAGAATGAGGGGTTGCAAATGTTGGGGAAGCCGAGGTTGACCTCCATGAAGGAAGTGATTTCCGACCAAAAGGCTCTTATGACGGGGCATTCCCAGAAACAGTGCAAGAAGTCGGCCTCTCGCCCGCAGCGCTTAAAACAACGCGAAGTCGGGCGTAGGCCGAGTCTATGCATCCGGGCGGGAGTGTAGTAGACCTGGTAGAAGAACTTCATTTGGATCAGTCTGTCCCTAGACGCTATTACAGATGACATATAGCTGCTCTCAAAATCACCCCAATCATCTTCCACCAGGTCCGGGAGGAGCGACCGCCACTTCTGTTTTCGGTCGTTAAATCTACCGGCTCTGGAGGACATGAGTTCCGCATAGTATGTGGAGATCAATTTTGACGAACCTTCCTCTCGCAGCATTCCCTCCTGGGGTGACTGGGCTGGTGTAAAAGTAGTTGAACCAAATTGGGTACGTATCGCATGCAGCAGCTGAAAGTAGGCCAAAAAATCAGAAGGGGGTAGTCTCAGCTCCTCCCTAAGCTGTGGGAAGGTAAGCATTACCCCATTTCTAAACAAGTGAGACAAGGATTTAATGCCTTTTGAGGACCAGAAGGCGGCTGATGGTAGACGTTGCAGCACTGAGAGGGCAAGATTACTCCACAAGGGGGAGAAGGGAGAGTGGGACCATTGAGGTGATAAGCTATTAATAACATATCGTAGGATCCGGACAGTTACAGAAATCATCTCCGCCCCTTGCTGCTTTTGGGTATGATTAATCCCTCTATAAACTACATTTTGAAGGGATTCAAAGGAAGTTAGTATGGCTGCTTCAGTTGCTGTACATGCGTTTCCAGCTTGGGGGAAACTAGTAGAGGGTTAGGGGCCATATTAAAGTCGCCCATGATCAACGGGGCCGTGGGCATGGTCAGGGCAGCATTAGTGATCGCATAGAGGATTTACACCCCGGGGGGGGGGAGATAAACGGAGGCCAGTGTCAAGGGACTCCCCTCTATCGCCATATGAATGATAACAAATCTCCCGTGCGGGTCAGTCTTAACCTGGAGAACATCAGCATTAAGCGACTTAGCTAGCAGAATGAACACCCCACGTGAATATGATGAGTATACAGCAATATGATGAGTATACAGCATTAAAGGATTTGGCTACCCAGTGTTTTTTCAATGCCAGAATCCTAGATCCCAGCAGATGGGTCTCCTGCAGTTTAAAGAGGAAGTCGAATACAAGGGAGCGTTTGAGGCTGGAATTCAAGCCCCGAACGTTCCATGAAATAAATTTATATTGCATCAGAGGACAGGGAAAGAGTCAGGGCAGTTAGAAGGTGAACCTGTGAATTGAAGCAGCGAAACCTTGTGAACCAATGCAAGCTGTAGAGCGTCATAACATACAAACAGTAGAAAACGTCAACCGACTTCCCAACATGAACTACCATTCCCATCCCACCCCGCTTGTTAACCCAACTCTAACAAGCCCGGACCCCTTAACGTAACCAAAACTCAAGCACCAAGTGCAAGAACAGTGCCCAAAAAGGCTGGGGGTGTAGCCACTTCTATCAGGACCCGACCCAAACATTTCCAGGTCCCAAGTGGTAATGACATAACATGGCGACGGTTCCCCTAATGCAGGGGGGATGTCTCATCGCTTCCACGGACAAGAGCACCGGCCCAGGGAGTAGTAGCAATGCAGTCTGACTAGTCCACGTCCAAAGGAATAGTACCGCGTCAGGATACTGGGCCAGCTGCATCCAACAGGAACTGAAAGTTAGCATGGTGTTGTAGGAGTGACGTTCAGCTCCCTGTCCATGGATAGGCGGTGTGATCCGACAGAGGAAAAAGTACTCAAGTGGACAGGTTAACGGACTTCATTGTGGCGGCGTCTCCTCTGGGGAAGACCTTTACCATCCAGCCAGTCCGAGGCTTGGGTGGGTGAGGAGAAGAGTTGTACTTTACCATCCCTTGTCACTTTCAGTTTGGCAGGATAAAGCATGGCATAGGCGACACCCTCCTGGCGCAGCCGCTTTTTGACCTCCAGGAAGGAGGACCGCTGGCGTTGTAATTCAGCGGAAAAGTCAGGAAAAATGAAGACCCGATTCCCATTATAGGAGAGCTCCCCTGCAATCCGTGAGGCACGCAGAATCGCCACTTTATCCCTGAAGTTGAGGATCCGGGCAAAAATAGGTCTGGGAGCGGAACCAGGGGGAGGCAAGGAGGGTGGTGTGCGATGCGCCCGCTCCACAAAGGAAGGAGAAGAGGGGGTGAAATCTCCAAACATCTCTCTAAGCCAATCTTGAATAAATTGCTCAGGATTTTGGCCCTCTGACCGCTCAGGAAATCCAACAAAGCGGACGTTATTCCGCCTGGAGCGATTCTCCAGGTCATCCATTTTAGCTCTGCAGGCCGCTAGCTCCCTCTGTAATCCAGCAGTATCCCTGGACAACGGGGTCATCGCATCTTCCAGGATAGTAATGCGGCCCTCAGTTTCGGTGACCCTGTCACGCAGACCCTGAACATCATGCTTCAGCAGAGAGAGGTCTATATGTACCCCCTCAATCTGTGATGCCAGGGAGGTTTTGCAGTCCCGAATAGCCTCCATTAATTGTAGGAGGGTGGGCTCAGCAGGGGCCTGTGTGTCTGCAGGGAACGTCTCCCCCATCCCCCTCTCCTCAGAGGCCCTGCCAGCACGTTGTACAGGTTGGCCTTTTGTGTGTTCAGCCTGGGGGGATTGTGCTGCTTTCCCCTTCATGCCCAGCTGGGACAGTGGAGCAGATTTCCCCTGGGAAGCCCCCTTACTTGAGGATTGAGGAGTCCCCGTCCTCATCGTGGAGCCCGAGGAGGTGCGGAGGGCCGCATGTCCGGCGCCATCTTGCCGCTGGAACCGGGCCAATTTTTCGGCCGCTGAGACGTCCCTTTGGTCCCCGATTTTCCCCATCGCAGCTGCCAGGAGGATCCTGAGGGAGAGCGGAAGGAGCCCGGGTGCCGACCGAGTCGCTGGAACCGTCAGGATAGGGTAAGGATGAGAGTGGGACCGGAGCTGCTGCGATCAGCGTCCGTCCATGCACGCCGCTTGGCCACGCCCCCCAAATGATCTTTAATATTACAAATCAATACGATTCCATAAAATCAATACTTGATAAAAACCATACAAAACATGGTTATATGTGTTATTAATGATCCAGTGCACATCAAGATGCTTCAACCTGGCGAGTGTGCTGGGAAATGTTTGCATTTGTATTGTGTAAAGCCCTTCCATGTGCACCTTACTTGTTATGAATTGGTGAGTGTGTTTGCCATTTATTTTGCTTGTTGGATTTGGTGTGGGGACACACTGGGGGCTCTAGCTGCCATTGTGACGTGCTGGGCTTCTGGTGTGTCCCTGTGCCTTTAAGGTGGAACGGGCTGCCTCCTGGTGAACCTGCACCCAATTCATCCTTTGTTATATATGCTCCAAGAAGGAGACTCTCATAGATTAGAGTTAGAACCACACTACACAGAGGCTGCCAAGGCAGTGTGGCTTTCACGTATTTTGCAAAAGTTGTGCAACTAAAACCTCTGTTTTTTTTAACCCTAATAGCTAGATGTAGTTTTTTTTTTGCAGGCTGGTTGGTCAGTGTGCTGGGAAATTTTTGCTTTTGTATGGTGTAAAGCCCTTCCATGTGCACCTTACTCATTTTTAACTAGATATGAATTGATGAGTGCATTTGCCATTTGTTTCACTTGTTAGATTGCAGTGCATCACAGGAGAGTTTGGAGCTGTGGCTACTTTACAACACACACAGGGACCATGGGGAACAAAAGTAGCCACCCTCCAGAAGGAAGGACAGTGTCAGCATGAATTCAGAGATGATTTGAGGATCTACAGCTAAATGATACACAAATAAGTTACATTTGTGTTAATAGTTCAGGGTACTTGAATGCATTCTTAGGATTTAACTCCTGAATTTAGTGTCACTTTAAAGTGACTGTCACCTAAATAAATAAAGCGGCTAGCAGGTATAACATTCAGACTGCAAGCTGGATGTGAACCGACAACAAAATGATTCCATCTCCATCTTTTGATTGAAGTGAAAAAAAACCCCCAAAAAACAAAAAGTTTAGCCAATTATCTTCCAACAAGATGAATACATACCGCAGTGTCATCCTCTCTGTAGACTTTAATAGTTTTGTCAGCTTCGGCAGTGATCAATCGGCCCTCTGACTGGTCAAATGTACATGCAAATATACCAGATTCACTGTCTAGAGAGCCTGGCTGGACAGCAGCGTGAATTCTTTGGAAATTATAACCCGTCCTCCAGTCCCATAAGTGCATTGTTCCATTATCAGCTGCAGGGCAGAAAAGAGAGGTGTCAGACAGAAACCACACCTAGCTCAGTCAATGAGAGCTAAAAGTAATTCTCTAAAGGGAAGTAATTTTCTCTAAAGGGAAATCAGCAGAAACAGTTTCTTACCTCCTGACACCAGCACACCATCAGAGTTCACAGCCAAAGTGTTGATTATAGCATTGTGGCCAGAAAGGTTTTGGATGAAGTTTCCATCAGGGAATTTCCACTGTTTAATATTATCCGGTGACCCAGATGCAAATGTGTACCTAGAATAAAAGCCAAGACGGTGAGGCATGCAAACGTAACAGATAATTTTGGAATTGACTGTGCGGCACAAAACAGAGTTGTGCTGACTTTAGCGACAAGCTGAGAACTGCAGCAGTGGCACTTATTGTATCATGTAGCTTGACTCTGTGCACGTAAAGCTATTTTAGGCTTCTCTGAAGGCCAGTTGTTGGGATACTGCAGAAAAAAAAAAAGTTTCAATAAAGAAAACTATTTCTGATCTTTCAGCTCTCTTTCTTCTGCTTTTCAGCCTTTCCGTCAGACTTCATTACAGATGAAGAAAAAAAATGTCATTGACTACCAATTACTGGATTCTCTGAACCACTGGTGTAACGGAGAAATATAACCTGAACCTGCCCAAAAATATCCATATAATGGATAAATATGGCAAATTAGACTTATTAGCGGAGCTGAGACTGGGATGATGCTTTAGGAATCATTTCAGATCTTAATACCAGGCTTGTTATTATGAGCATGGAAAAAGTACATGACAATATTTGTTTCCGATACCATGCTAAATGTTTACATGCTTGCAATCAACAATAGAAGCTTATATTTTTGCATTGCACAACATAAACATTAAATATAAATACAAACAAACAGTAAACTCCCAGTTATCCGGCACTCACTGGGATCGGTAGGTGCTAGATAAATGTAGTTTCTGGTTGCTTGAGAGTTATTAGTAACTCTCAAACAATGGGGAGCAATAGCCAGCCTGCTATTGCAATTTGAAATAGCCAATAGCAGGCTAGCTATTGAAACCCTGTCCACTGAGCAGAGGTGTGGACCTGCGAAACCTCTCTCTCTCAGATCCGCTCCTCTGCTCAGTGGATGGGTCCAATAGTCAGCCTGCTATTAGCTAGTGCAATTTGAAATAGCCAATATCAGGCTGACTATTGCTCCCCATTGTTTACATTCTGCTGCTAACTTCGGAATCTAGCTGTCTAGAATTCCGTTAGCAACTAAATAAACATAGACACCCTTAAAAAGATGGGGAGAAGCTGCAGTACATCAAGTTAAAAAAAATAATGATATGGAAAGAAAAAAAAAAAAAGCAGCTACACAAGTGGATCTCCTATGGAGAATTGAAAAACCCAGAGGGTTTAATGTCAATTTAAAACTTATTTTGGATGATAAATCTTACACTCATTTGGAACATGCGGGGATGCACGTTTGATGTGTTTGAACAGAATTTACTTGTTAACAAAAAGTACGGTCATTGTGGTAGATGCACCGAAAAACTTATGTCAAACAGTGGAAACACATGCTCTGCTTTTGCCATGAATTTACAATGCGTTGCAATGACGGCAATAGAACAAAAAGTCAGAAGAAAAAAAATCTGAAGTTTACTGAAAACTAGGGCTGCAACAACTAATCGCCATAATCGATTATAATCGATTATTGAAAAAGTTGTCAACTTTTTCAATAATCGATTAATCGGCTTCCGATCAGTTGGCCCTGTTCACAGCTCCACACGCTGTGCGCCGCACCTCCTCCCCACCTCATAAGAGAATACAAGGTTTCAACGTCTGCATTATTTTCTAGTGCACATCCCACATGCCTATGTTCACAAGCCAGAAGGATGCACATTTAATCATGTGTAGATAAAGTTGACATATTACTGTCACCTGGACTGAGAAAGGAGGAGCAGTGAGATCATTGAGGCAATCTTCGGGTTATGTGCATCTGAAAAGATAGATGCCATTTAGTGTGCTTCAGTTTCAATCTGTAATTTTTTTACGCAAACTGTCTTTGTAAGACGCTGTTATGATTGGGGGGAAATTTATCAAAACTGGAGCAGACAAAATCTGGAGCAGTTGCCCATGGCAACCAATCAGCTCCTCTTCTTTCTTCAATTTTAAGTGGCCATACACCTGCCAATTATCGTACGAGAATCGCAGGAAATCCCGCGATCGTACGATAATCGGCAGGTGTATGGAAGGCGTGCGACCAGTTCTACTGTACGGTCGCTGGTCTTTCGAGCAGGCTCGAAAAACCCGCTGAGAATCGTACGATTGTCGGCGGGTTTGTGGCCTGCTCGTAAGACAAATGCCGCACGGGCCGGGTAAGACAAATGACGGGCCGGGCCGCATTCTGAAGTAGATCATAAAATCAGATATTGACTTAATATACTCACTGCCGTGGATGCAATACAACAGCTCTGACGGACTTCTTATGGTTTGTCAATGTGACACGAGTCTTTCCAGCCACCATATCCCAAAGCCGAATGGTGGTATCGTGGCTTCCTGAAAAGACAAAAAAACGGATTATAAAAGCAATAAGGAGAAATGTAAAAACAAAAACCAAGAAAAATGTCAGCTTAAAAAGTGGTCTCACGCCCTTAAAAAGGGAACTGGTAAAGTCAGAAGTATAGGAGTATAAGTGTGTGCATGCATTTGCTAACCTTTTCCAAAAAAATACTAGTCGCATTCACATGTACATTCATTTAGGTCAACAAATGGCTACCACAGTGAGTAATGAGTGCTCCTGGAAGAACACCCATCAGATAATTGGATACTCATGACAAAATGATCAATAGATTTACAGACACAAACATTTATATGCAAATATTTAGTAATAGTCAAAATTGGCAACAGCCTCTCACTTTTCCTTACTGGTCTTTTTATATGGTAGGCAACATCATTGATCAATAGGAAGACGGTACGTAGAAGGAACAGAGCTAAACTTGACCCTTTACTGAAAAAGGTAAAAACTGCAGGTAATGTCACCAGCCTAGATGACGCATGATTTCACTAAATTTAACCTCTACTTATGCATGTTGTTTAAAATATGCAGGTTTACCTAAGAAAAAGAAATTTAAAAAAAATCAATCAACCCCCTATCCTCCCAGCCTGCAGCAATATCTGAAATGCAAACAATCAGATTTAGGAAAATGGTCTGGAAACTGCACTTGAAGCTCCAAAACAGCCTGTGATGGCTATTAAGGTGCTCAGCCATAAATGAACTGGCATTTAATTCATTTCAGAAAAGCCCCAGGCAATGAACTTCAAGCTTAAAAGATCCAGCACCTTCATGCATAAAGGAATACGTTTGCGTGTAAACCTTGATTAGATCCAGATAAAACTAGCAGTCTAACTGATGAGGGCAGTGGAAAAAGCAATAACGATGTGGAAAGTTAGATAACCTATGGCTGCCAAATTTCAGTTTACCATAAAGTGATCAGTGAAAGGTAGAATCTGGTTGCTATGGGTTGCTGGGCCTGGAACGTCACTGTTCTTCACTATTTCGTATTGAATAAACCCAAAGGATTAAAAGTAGCTGGATTGTTTGCATGACAGACATGATCACATAATGGGGGGCAAATGAAATGCTGCAAAAAGGATTTAAAAAAAAAGAAAAGAAAAGAAAACCCTCTTAAAGAAAGGCTTATTCTAAGTAATGATAAGACTGAGTACTCCAACAAACCTGTCCTGATACCAGGAGTTACAAATATGTACAGCAGATGTACAGCAGCTGATGTTAACAAAGACTAATATGACATGCCAGCAAACTGGGTCTGCAGTTATAAAGCACAACGGTTAACAATCAGCAAACTTCACACAGTAACACCTTCACAGGTGCCCTGCACCAGAAACTACAGAAGGATTTTACGCACTTCCATCTTTCCATGCAAAAAAGCCATTAGCCTGGATTAACATTCTCTTCTACAATAGTACAGAACGTAGCTATTTCTTCAATGGTTTCCACTTATTCAGTACAGATATTAGTTAAGAAGCAGCTAAATTCTCGTAGGGCTGCCACAACTAATCGATTAAAATGATAATAGTTGGCAACTATACTCATTATCGGTTAGTTGGTGGGGGAGGGAAGGAGAGAGAAGTTTAATGAAACCAAATAGATTAGTTGAAAAAATTGGGCAACTAATTGATTATGAAAAAAATCGTTAGCTGCTGCCCTAAAATTCTGCTACAACCAATGGCAATCTTTTGTAACTCTAACCTTGAAAGACTCTACTTAGCATCAGTCCTCAATCCCATTAAAAACTCTACTTTTCTTAGTGCATTTCCACTTATGCAGCTAAATTGGTATAACACCTACTTTATATTTGTTGTATGTTCTCATTCACATTGCATATGTTACTATGCACTGCCAAATCAAGAAAGCCACACACTTTAATATTTCATTGGACCACCTCCTTTAGCTTTGATTGCGACACGCACTGGTCGTGGCATTATTTCGATAAGCTTGTGCAATGTCACATTTATTTCTATCCAGAGTTGCATAAATTTTTTAACAAAATCTTGTAGTGATGATGGGAGACCCAGACCACTCCATAGCACCTTCTCCAGCACATCCCACATATTCTTAATGGGGTTAAGGTTTGGGCTCTTTGGTGGCCAATCCATGCGTGAAAATGATGTCTCATGCTCTCTGAACCGCCCTCACAATTTGAGCCCGTTGAATCCTGGCATTGTCATCTTGGAATATGCCCGTGTCATCTTGGAAGAAAAAAATTAATTGATGAAAAAAATCTGGTCAGTCAATATACTCAGGAAGGTAGCTGACAGCTCATTTTGTGGGCAAAAATGTTGCTGAATCTAGACCTGACCAACTGAAGCAACACCAGATCATAACACTGCCCCCACAGGCTTGTACGGTAGCCTCTAGGCATGATGGGTGCATCACTTCATCTGCCTCTTACCCTGATACGCCCATCAATCTGGACTCATTAGACCACATGACCTTTTTCCATTGCTCCAGAGTCCAATCTTTATGCTCCCTAGCAATTAGCTTCACTGATGAGTAGTTTTCTTTTCAGCCGTTTAGTTCCAATCCCTGGAGTTGTTTTCACATTGTGTGTGTGGAAATGCTTTTACTTTCAATATTAAACAGAACCATGAGTTCTACCGTTTTTTGATTTGATTTCACCAAATTTTTAACCCCTTTGTGACTGACGACGTACAGTGTACGTCGCCAGCATCGGGGCTGTTTAAACAGACTGTTTAAACTCGTAGAGCCAACTGTCTGCTTTACAACAGAAGCGATTCTGGCGACTTACCTGTCACCAGATCGCTTCTGTGTCCCGAAGAAGGGGCCGCCCCCGCCGTGCTTCCCGGGCTCCGTAGCCTCTCCTACGGGCCCGGGACCGCCGTCCTTGGTGTCTGCGGGGAGCTGGGGAGGAGGTCGACGAACTTCCGCTCATCGCTCCCCTCCCTGTTCTATGGGACCGGGAGCGATGCAGATTGCATCACTTCCGGTTCCTGGGCTGTCAGTTCTGGGCTCCTGCAGAATTTCTAGTGTAAAGGTGACACTGGTGGTCTTTTGGACCCCCAGCATCACCTTAAAGAGTACCCGTCACCACCATCTGCTATCACATGGGGGGGGCTTGTAAGCCCCCCTATGTGATAGCAGTCAAAGTAAAGTTAAAAAAAAAACAAAAAAAAACAGTTTTTTAACCACTTTAAGACCAGGTGTTTAGACCCCCTTCCTGGCCAGGCCATTTTTCAGTATTCAGCGCTGCGATATTTTGACTGACGTTTATTCCGTCATGCAACGATGTACTGACCGGCCATTTCCCGCTTGCGCGCGCCTGGTGGCGTGTCTGAGCGGACGTCTAGAGACGCCCGCTCAGATCGAGAGAGCTCCTGGCCGGCCGTTTTTTTACTACGGCCGGCCCGGAGGCAGTTAAATTAAAATAAATCTAATAATAATTTTAAAAAAATGTAAAGTCTCCAGCCCCCGCGTCGCCACGTAAACACGCGTTGGGTGCGCCTACGTATGAAAACGACGAACGCGCTACACATGCTGGGTATCGCCGCGCACGCAGGAGTGAGAGCAATAATTCTAGGGCCAGTATTTTGGGGTATCTCTAAATTAATGACCTGTGGGGACTTTTAAAGCGTCTATGGACTTTTTGGGGTACTGCAGTTATTCGCCGTTTCACGGACGCACGCAATTTGTAAACTGGGCATGTTGGGTATCTTCTTACTCGTTGTAACCTCATCTTTTATATTCATTAAAATAATGGGTATTTTATTGTGTTCTGGGGCATTTAATTAAATTTGTCACTAAATGTTGGGGTTTAATAAAGAGTTGCGCTAATATTGCGATACATACAAATTTGCAACTACCACCATTTTATTCTATAGGGTCTTGGCATTCAGAAAATATATAATGTTTGGGGGTTTTAAGTAATTTTCAGGCCTAAAATGTGGAATATAACATGGGTGCAAAAAATGGAAAAAAGGCCTCAGTCATGAAGGGGTTAAGTAATCTCCGATCATGTTCATTCAAGATTTGTTTCCGACCACATTTCTCCCTCAAAGATGATGGCTCACCACTATCTTTAATAATGGGTTGGATAGTTCTTAACACAGTTAAATCTCTTGTTGCCCGATGAAACATATTAATCACTGCAGTAATTATAAAATAGAAGGCTCTTACCTATTTGCTTTCCAAAATCCAGGTGACTTTTTTTTGGCCAGGCAGTGTATCTTAAATGTTTTAAAGATCCTATTTCTATGTTTGATGAAAGAAACCATAACTAAACCTGTTTGGCGGCAGTGACAAACAGGTCGAAGAAAAAAAAAAATCTCAATAGATAATCAATTTCATAAAAGGTTGATAGGAACTTGGGTGCCAAAATGTCGGCCGCCGAAAACGGCACTTTGGGCAAAATGCAGAAAGTGCCATCTTTCGGCCGAAATTGTGGTGCATCCATAGTTTCTCTCCTCCCCGCTGTGCACTGCTGTCTCTCCTCTGACACAGAGCAGCGTCAAGCGTAGAGGAGAGAAACTGTCAGGAGGCCAAGCGGAGCGGGGAAGAGAGCGCTGTGAGCGTTTCACAGGAGGACCTCTCTCCCCACACTGTGCCGCCCAGCCTCCTGTAAAAGATCAGGAGAGTGGTGTGTGGGTGGAGACAGCAGTCATCTGTCACAGGAGACCGAGCCAGCGTTGAGAGGGAGAAGTCAGCTGTCAAACGAGACCAAACTCTCCTCCCTGCACCGCCGGCTCAGCATCTTGCGAGAGCCGATCCAGGATGGAGAGCGGTATACAAACATTCAGTGATTGCTGAATGTTTGTAAATAATGGGACATAGTAGGAGTTACTATGTACCAGTTATGAATGAATAGGAAATTATCTACGTCACTTCCTATTCATTCATGATTGTGGACATAGTAACTCATACTATATCCACAAGTTATGAACACTCAGTACAGTATAGAGCAGGGGCGCCCACTATTTTTCGTCTGGAGATCTACTTTTCAAATGACAAGCTCATTGAGATCTACCAACGAAAAAACACCTGCATTCAGGGAGGAGATTGAGGACTGTGTGTCCTCAATCTCCTTTTCTATTGTAAAAGGGAAATATCAGGGGTCTTTTTAGACCCCTGATATTTCCCAAGAGCCCCCAGCAGTAAATGAAAAATATTTTATACATATAAATAAAATATAAAAAACTTTAACGTTTAGGGAAAAAAAAATTAAAAAAGAAAACTTTAAAAAAAGGTTAGAATTTTTTTCTTTTTTTTTGGTGTGACATTTTTACATTTTAGGTTTTGGTCTCAAAATTTCATTTCGGTACACCTCTAATAGGCACTGACCACCACATAACGTTTTGTGGGTCACTGTCGCTTCTTCAGATATCACATCCCACGCACGCTTTGATCTCGCCACTGAGTGTACTGCATGTCAGCTGCTAGTTGGTGTTCAATAAATATAAAACAAATATAAATAAATATCAACCATTTATGAAATTGATGGTCTGCTGAGATATTTTCCTGCCTCTGCCACCAAACTTTTATTTTTCTTAGTTTCATCACTTCATAGTTACGCTCTACAGGACTGGATTTTGGCCTATCTAGGACAGCCGAAAGAAATCACCTCTCTCTAATGGCTTGTAGGGAGACCAATGCATTCTTCAAATGTGCTTTTCTTAAGCTGTGTACAGCACTACTGTGGTCTTCCCAGTCTCACCAGTTTTTACTTTCTTCACTCTTTATTTCCCTCACTGTACTTATGGTCATCACAGGAACTACTACACTACAAGGGCACCTCTCTACCTTTTTTCCCCTCTATGAGTTTCATATGACCGACGTGTAAAGAAAAGTCCTTCTATTGTTTTTGTTTTTAAATTTACAAATAAATATGCATATGGAAGGAAACCTATATACTGCTTCGCAATGATTGGGCTTACTGCTCAATCTCACAACGCAAGTGTATGGAGTCTATTTATATAGTAGTGGTACTGCACATTTAAAACAACAAAACAAAAAAAACAAAAACAGTGCACAACTTTACAAAATGTTCTTTGGAAGCTTTGGAACTGATAAAGTTTTGTTGAATACATTGAATACGAATATTAAACATGTATAAACCAGTAAAATGAACCTATATCTATAATGAAATAAATTGGCTATCATCTAATAAAATTTATGCTATAGTATGTCTTTGTTCCAACAACTTCCACCAAAAACATACGGAGGACCTTCCAGATAAAAATAAATTTACTTCCGACTAGTGCACATGCCTTCTGCAGAGAGCAAAATGTCTGGGGAACTTGTAGAGACAAAAGCAGTCACAGACAGGGACTATTGAATGTGTCTGATTGATCTTAGCTTCGACTCCTAGAAAGTGCTCAGTACAGTACAGGCTGTTCCAGCTCGGCTTCTACCATGTGTGACTCTTCCCTCTCAAGCCAGCTTCAAACAGGTTTCATTTAACCCCTTATGAACAGGTTTTGTTCATACTGGTTAGACTTTCCCATAATGAGATTAGCCTATAACTCGCATATTAGATCTAACCTAGCTATCAGCAAAGTTGACTGTAGTCACTATAAAAGATTTCCAATTAGTGCTATTGTGTCTGTAACGTGAGTAATGTTAAAGTGAACCATACAGTAAAAAAGTATGGACCCCTATTACATATGACTCAGAATTTCAAACAATGTTATCAGCCTTTCCAGCTATCTGCTGTAAAATATAAAACACCTCCCCCTATGTATTGGAAATGAGGAGCGAAACCTAGGGTGACAACACTGCTACTGAAATTAATTTTATACCATTTTTTGGGGACAGATGGAGCTTTCTTTTGATGGTATTTAATCACCACTGGGGGTTTTTATTTTTTACTTTAAGGAAAAATTACTGAAAATGTTGACAAAATATATTTTTTACATTATGTTATGAAACATTTATTATTTCCCAAATTTTTTGTAAAATATAAAAGACGGGGTCACGTTGGGTAAATAGACACCAAACATGTCAATCCTTACAATTGCGCGCACCCGCGAAATCGCAAAAAAACTACCAAACCCAAAATTGACCATAGGCGACACTTTAGAAGCTTTTACCGCTCATCAGTTTAGTGTTATCAGTGATTGATAGCCCTAGAATTATTGCTCTCACTGCGACATTCGCAGCGATATGTAACATGTGCGGCGTAATGGGCGCAATCGTCATTTTTGCACGTATGCGCACCCGACATGTTTGCATGCGTGTATGTATGGGTGGGGGCTTTAAAACAAATTTTTTTTTAAATTCTTTGTCATGTGTGAATTTTTTTTTTTTTTGCAACCCTCAATGTGATAGCCAAGAGTATGTGACAGGTCCTCTTTATGGAGACATCAGGGGTCTCCAAGACCCCTAATGTCACCTAGGGACCCCTAGAGAAGCTGATGAAGCAGATCTCTGCTTTATCAGCTTCTGAAGCTGGAGAGTGATCCAAGAATGCGGAAGTGATGTAATATACATCCCTTTGGCATTCTGACACCGGAGATGGGATCGAGGGAGATAGTGTACCAATCTCCCTATGATCACCTGTCAGAGAGCCACCTTGCTGGTCCCGGGCTCACACCGGGCACAGTGGAGCTTGGGACCAGCGGGAGGTGGGCCCGCACAGACCGGGACATTATACAAGCGTTCCGCCAGCTCTATAGCCGGCGGATCACTTGTATGTAAAACAGGCATCGCTGCCTGTTTTTACATTTGGGCAGTTTCCCGCTCGCGCGTGCTGAATCTGACGGCCGGTCATATCCAGGAAGCTCCCGGCCAGCAAAGAAATCACCTTGAAATAGTGGCACTGCCTAAGCACTACTCCAAAAAAAAAAATATCACTTTTTGTCTTGAATTCCTCCAGAGAAATAGCAGTGGACTTCCTGGCATGAGATTGTGCCTCGAACTCCTGTGACTACATCATTATAGTTGTATATCTGAAGTGCGAAAGGCACGGCTTCTTCAGACCGCGGTCACACAAAATTTGGAGGGAGATTTGGTTACTGTCATCACTGCGCTGCATGCTGGAGAAGATTCAGTACATGAGGACCTGCACTGCATGAATCACCTGGATTCTAATTCATTCATTCTGCAGGTCTGCTCTTCATACTGCTCTCATGTTGCTTCTTGATTGTTCCCCCACAAATTATCAGTTTAAGATAGGGGAAACCCTGATGTGAGGAAGCAATGGCCTGCTACTTGACCAAAATGGCTGCCTACACACAGAAATGCAGTGCAGAGCAAGGCACAGTAAATCAGAAATGGATAAAAAATTATCTGCAAGGGGCCCACAGGCAATCCTGGTAACTAGTCCTTTGTACTCTGGTCGCTATTGGTGCTTGAACTCTGACCCTTCAGAGCACCCGTATAACTCCAATAAGAATCTTCTGTAATCCATGTAAAGGCTTTTTGCTATGACTTACCTGTGATGATCTGTGGTTCTGCAGCCTGACACCTTACAGTTGCTACAGCATTTGTGTGTCCAATAAGGGTGTGAACCCCAGCTTTTGTTCTTATGTCCCAGATCTGTTGGGAACAGGAAGAAAGACAAGTTGACACTTTTGCATCAATTGGCTATAAAAGGCATATCTGTAGTAACCTCAAAGTTTCCACTTAGTACAAAAGACAGATATCATTTACTTACACGGGTTGTGGAGTCTCGGCTACAAGTCACAAGCACATCAATGGTGGGATGCAAATCTAAACCATACACTGCACTGAGGTGACCGTGGTAATGTCTTATGACCTGATATAAACAAAACACAATACAGGTTATATACAAAAAGCACTTCATTGCGAAGAAATGTAGAGTAAATTGGGTTTAAATAAATGGAAGCAGACTTTCAAATGACAAAAAACAAAACAAAGGGCACAGCAGGCATTTCCACAGTGACTTATCATACTTCACAAGTGGAGGGGAAATTATCTCTAATTTAAAAAAAACATTAGCACTATGTTATCATTATATTCCCTTAACATTCATTGCACATGCATCTTCCTGGTGCACACTTTAAATTGCAGTGATTGATACACCTGCAGTGAAAGTTTGGTGAATGTCAAATTCCCGGGTTTATAAATATGTCCCTTAAAGTCTGAGGTTTTACTCGCAATAGAGATTAAAGCCATACTCCAGGCAAAATGATCATTTACACACTGAACTGGGTGTGTAAAATATCATTAAAAAGCTGGGTGTTACTATATGTGCTGAGGGCTCCTGCAAAATTTAAACATCTGATCTTGCAGCATGCCTCCCGCCCACACACAACGCCCACCTTCCAGGCACTGAAGAGAGGGAGAGATGCGACCTGAGCTGTACAGCGCTCCAGTCACATAAACCAGCCCCTCTTCACTATTATCCATTCAGACAATGTCTAGTACAAGACATTCAGTGATTAGAGGAGGAGAGATGAGGTTACATCCCTGTCCCCTCCTCTACTTCTCCAATCACAGAATGTCTGAGCGTCCTGTGTAGGGGACAGCATGCTGCAAGGTAAGATTTTTTTACACTTTGCAGCAGCCCTCCACACATGGCAGCTTTTAAAAAATAATATAAAACACCCAGTACAGGTGTAAATTACCATTTTGCTTTAAAGCAGACCTTGTTCCTGATAAGGTCTGCTTTTTAAATGTTACCCCCTCCACTTTGCTGGAAACAAATGAGGTAATACACTTATCTTTCCCACCGAATTCTGTCCATGGCACCCAAAAGAGAGTGAGGTCATCTCTTTCAGAGAGAAAAAAGATGCTGGAAGTAACCGACAATGATCATCTAGAACCAGCAATGTATATCAGTGAAATACTCAGCAAAAAGACAGAAAACTAACAGACCCAGTGGTACTATTTTAGAGAAAACAAAATGACTCATTATAGTATTGTAACAAAATAATTAGGGCTGTGCAAATTAACGACGAATTTCACGATTAATCGTTAATCTTTTTGATCGATTAATTTTTTTAAAAAACTTTCTGCATGAGTGCCAGCCAAGGCATTGGCCTATACACATACAGCAGAGCAATGAAGTCATAAAATGAACTAGGATCACACTAATCCAGCACGTTATTAATCTGAGTTGCCCCACTCAAGCGGCGGCTATATTGAGTGGGGCACGTGAGATTAATAACGTGGTGGATTAGTGTGATCCTAGTTCACGAAAATTTTAATCATTACCAGCCCTAAAAATGGAGTTTAACTGCGCAATTTTATCTACAGATGGACATTTTCCCAACCATCATCGTCACCTTTTGTAAACACTACTGCAAAACGGTCCTGTGGTGATATCTTATGCTTGCCTTTACTATCTCCATACTGAGAGAAGCCACAGATTCAAGAACAGCTACGCTGGGAGTCTCATTACATGACAGCTAAAAGTGCTACACTTTTATGAAATCACTATACATTCACATGTATAGTCTGGCAGACTCCTCCAGCCCAAAATGTTATTCAATGCTGCCTGTGCCCCATAGACTTGAGTGGGGCTAGCATCTCTAGTGTATGGGTAAGGCTACATTCACACCAGGTAAGAGTAGATAGTTTAAAAAGCGTTTCTAATCACACATATATGTAGCTAATGATTTCCAAATGGATCTATGCGCACATTGCATTTAGATGCTTTTATCTGCGTTTAGAAAAAAATAGAAGTCAGATGCATCTAACAGCTAAATGCACCATGTAAATGCATGAAACACATGTAAACATGATCTGATGCTAGGATTTGGTACCAGATGCATCCAAACGCATATCCATGTAAACCCACATCATTCAACACATCTAGAAGCATAAACACAGCGTTGAGCCTGACAATTTTTTCTCTGCATATAGAGCACAAAAATGCAAGTGGAAGTTTACCCAACTATCCTTTTTTTATCATTTTATGCTTTTATACCATTCAATTTAGTACACTGTATCAGTACTTAAATACATTCATGTCGGTAACAAGGAGAAATTTCTAGCAACACTGCTAAAGATATTCTAAATGTTAAGCTTAATCCATAACGAAAGGCATCCTTAGCATAAATCATTGTTTATAGATAAAATACAAACCTTATTGTATTCCAGGTCCCAGCATTTCACCTGCTTGTCCTCACCGCAAGAAAACAAATATGGACTTCTGGTGCTCACAATCACTCCCCGGACAGTGCTTATGTGTCCAGTTAAGGACAGCTTTAATTTACCGCTTGCCAGATCCCAAATCTCAAGAGAAGACAGAAGAGAAGTTAAGCTCTGTGCAGCACATTATTAATATTTTATGACAAAAATACTCTCCATAAACAAAGAATCTTATTAAAACTATGGCACAAAAATCACTTCAGTGTTATGCGCTGTGCTAACCTGATATTTCTCCCGGGTCTTTTATTATGGAGTGAATGGAGTTGTGCTGTTTAATTCAGAGACAGCGAGCAAAGCAAATTCCGGTGATTGCAGTGCAGCCATCTGTACCACACTGCTAAATGTTGGGCTTAGTGAAAAGGGAAAGAGACATGGCAGAAACATGAAACCCAAAACTGTATTATGGTACCAGGACACTTCAAGGTCACTTCATTTTTGGGTCACCAAGTGCAGTAGCCTGGAGTAGAGACAATCGAGGTTAGGGACCGAGCACTTTTATACATGTGGCTCTCAGATTTTTCTTTTCTGGATTTGGGAACATAAAACCTTTCATGATGTATAAAAATGCTAAGGATTCGGGTAAAACTAGGATGTTTCTTTAACAGCAATATACTTGTTAGGTGTATTGATTCTCACTGCTAAACCTAAACTAAAATTGCTTTTTCTTCACAGCACTAAAAAAAAGCAGCTAAAAACCGGCATGAAGAAAATTACAAAGACTCGATGGGAGCACTGGAAATAATACCCTTCAGCACAATGAATCATAAAAAGTCTACTTTAGCACTGCAGTTCTCTTACCTTAATTGTCCGGTCTGCTGAGCCTGTGACAAACCATTGGTTCCCAGGTTCAACGGCTATGGACCGCACCCATCCTAAGTGACCACTAATGACCTATACAAAAAGCACACCGTTTGTTTACATCAAAGTTGATACATATATGATTATCACATTTCACACAAATTTGAAAATTGGTCATCCGTGTATCAGGGAAGGCAGCTGCCAACAGACAGGCCCACAATCTCAGGGAGACTGCTTCGGTAAGCCTGCACTTTCCCCCCACATGGTGCTGTATTAATGTATTGCTGGGATAGTGGGAATTGTATTCCTCTATAGCTGATGGTACATTGCTCTGTATAATATATATAGCACAATGTACCATTAGCTATAGAAGAATACAAATCTCAGCAATACATTACACACTGTATGTATAACGTATTGCTGGCATTTGTTGCATTCCTATATAGCTGCTGGTATTCTGCATTGCGCTGTATAATCATTATGCAGCACAATGCAGAATACCACCAGCTATAGAGGACTACAAATCTCAGCAATACATTTTACAATGCAATGTAGAATACCACCAGCTATAGAGGACTACAACAAATCCCAGCAATAATACATTATACAGCGCAATGCAGAATACCACCAGCTACAGAGGACTACAAATCCCAGCAATAATACATTGTAGCATAATGTACTATTGCTGGGAGTTGTTGTATTCCTCTATAGCTGGTGGTATTCTGCATTGGGCCGCTGTATAATGTATTATTGCTGGGATTTGTTGTAGTCTTCTATAGCTGGTGGTATTCTGCATTGCGCCGCTGTATAATATACTATATTGCACACCACTCTTTTTTTTACTACCACCGCTCCAAGCTTGCTCCCGTGATGGACTACAAACTCAATACAAACTAGAAGTCCATCACTGGAGCCTTTTTGCTTAAATCCGAATAAACTTAGAGAACTATGAGATGAGTTATTTCCACTCACCTCATAGTTCTAAGCCGACCTGTGACAATGAGACTGTCACAGGTCGGCTCAGTAGATCGGGAGGTCAGCAAACACATACCGGTTCCCTCACCTCTCGATCCTGTCACGGCTCTCTGCCGTGACAGGGGGAGGGGCTGGATTCCCCTCTCCCCGCTCCGATCTGCCTGCGCTGACTGGCGGAACGGACGGGGGAGGGGGCGGGTACAGCTGGCTCTGCCTCTAGATAGGCAGAGCCAGCTGTCACTCACGCAGCTGGGCGGATCCCGTCATTTACATCGGGATACGCTCCAGGTGCGGCGTCTCAGTATACCGCGAGCTGTAGCTCGTGGTATACTGAGCTTAGGGTAAAGGGAGGACGCTAGTTTGTGTCCTCCCGTTACTCTAAGGAGAACTATGGGGAAAAACACTGACCCCATAGTTCTCCTTTAATAATCGGCTAACTAATCGATTTTGAAAATAATCGATAGCTGCACCTCTAAAGACTAATGATCAATATTTGCTGTTATAGAACAGTGTGAAGACATAAGCCAATACTCACTCTGTACAGCTTCCACGGTGGATGCCACTGTGGTTTTGGCATGGTTGGTGCCTTCTTTGCCATTAATGCAGAGTTTTTCATTCCACCAGATTCCATGGAAGCCTAAAACATAACCAGAAACAAATACTTAAATGTTAAATATAATGCGCAAAATATGGAGGGTGACACTTCCCTGGAACAGCTATGCAAATGTCAGAGAAAGTCAAAAGTCCTTATATGCAAACCTGTTATAGGACAGTGACTCAAAGTATTGTGCCAGCAGCTAGTATTTTAAGAAGTGAATGACAACTGGTAGCCTTTATGTGTCTTTTAGTCATTTTAAAACAAAGTAGCCCCCAAAATTTAAACTAGAAAAGCACACATATACTGAAAAATAGGATTATTGTACTCGGTGTAAAACTTATTTCTTGGAGTCTATTGAGGAACACAGGATATATTACCTCCAGATTTTAGGAGGTAATACGGCAGGGCCGTCTACAAGAGGATAAAAAAATAAAAATAAAACCTGTAGACCAGCCCTAGGATAACCCCAGCATGCCTTAGTTTTGTCACAAAGCAACACCAAGAACATAATCATAAACAGAGGGATGGGACCTGAAGTTTTTTACAGCGAGTACAAACATTATGTTTTCTTTCTTCTCTTCTTGTCTTTCTGTTCTTGAGGAGAACTGGGACAACCAGCAACACAAAGAGCCGCCTGAAGGAACTTAAGTTTGAAGCATTACGTGGCAAAATCCACCGGGTAGAACTTATGGAATGTGTGAACAGAAGACCTGGTGTCAACCTCACCAATCTAGGAAACAGTTGCTCGATACCATAAGGTCCAGGATGCACTCAGATGGTCTGTCCAAGCCATCTAGGAGATGGTGGAATGAGAAGTCGGTGTACCATTACAAGGATCATCTAAATTTGACAAAACAGGCAATCAGTCTTCCAGCAGTGGCTGATAAAAAATATTCCCACAGTCTGAACCACATCCAGGTAAAGGAGGAACATTTATTTTGGTGAACTGGAGCCAGGCAAAAGGGTACAAAAAAAATGTGAAAGTTGAGGTGACATGCAGAAACTATCTTAGGCAAAAAATAAGTCCTAAGCCTCAAGAGCACCTTGTCTCTATGTAAAACTAGAAAAAAGATTCCATGCAGCAGTAGGCCATCAGTTCAGACAATTGCCTTCCAGAGGTGATGGCTACAAGGCATACCCCCTTTGAGTGACAGTAGAGAGAAGAATGTCTCTAATGTGCTTAAACAGTGGTAGTTGCATTGAGAACCAGATTCAGATCCAACTGAAGCAATGGATAACAAACAAGGGGCACTACATGGGGACTCTCTGTGCTAAGGTATTAATCAAGAAATGAGAGGCCAAAAGTCTCTGAAACAAGAAAGAAAAGGCAAAAACTGGACCTGGGAGCCTTATGCTGGTCCAGACCCACCTGCAAGGAGAGGATTCATCCCACGGAAAATACTTCTATGTTGGAAGCCCGAGACTCACACCAAGTGAAGTATATCTTCCATGTCTGATAGACATGGAAGTAGGGTCTGGACCTTCTGTAGGGTCTATTATAATCGACCCTACAGAAGTAGCTTTTAGCATTGCAGGAATCACAACATCTCTCAAAACCTGGGCTTTAACATCCATGCCAATAAAGCCAGAGGGGTCAAGCAGGATTGTAAATCGGACCTTAAGACAGAAAATCCTGACAATCTGGTCACAGAGCGTCCATCAGGAGTTTTACCAGGTCAATGCACCACACCCACCTGGGCCAGTCCAGAGTAATGAAGATCATTAGAATGGCCTCCATCCATCCTGCGAAACAGATGAGGAAGCAATTTTAGGAGGGCAAAAGCATGGATCATGGTGTACCGATTCCAAGGAGCCACAAGGGCATCCACTGCTTCAGCTTGATGCTTCCTGAACCTGTCAGATTTGTGGTTGAACCTGTTTAGAAGGTCTACATCTGACACCCCCACCTGGAATATAGGTCCTGGAACACATTTAGGGGAAGGGACCAATGCATCAGGTCAAATTGCTGTCAGCGTAGAAAGTCTGCCAGGCAATAGTCTATGCTTGGACCATTGCAGTGGACAAGGTCGGAATGTGAAGTTCTGCTCAGGGCAGGATCCAATCTACCTCTCTTGCCACGGCGAGACTTCTAGTTTCTCCCTGATGGTTGATGTACATCACCACTGTGGCATTGTCCAGCTGAATATAAATCAAATGATTTTCCAGTAGGAAAGCGCAATACAGTCAAATTGCTCAAAGTTTTAAGATCAGGAGACAAGACTACTCCAATAACCAAGTTTCCTGCACCAACAGGGTGCCCAGGACTCCTCCCCAGCCCAACAGTCTGGTATCCGACATAAGGCTCTTCATGAAGACACAAATAAAAGACTTTCCAAATTCTAGAGCTAGATCCTTGAGCCACCAGGCCAAGGACAACCAGGTCCTCATTGCCAAACGAATTGGAATGTCCATGAACTTGACCGACTGGTCCTATGATGACACAATTTTGCATTCTAGAGGTCTGGCAAATCTCACCAGCTGTGGGTCACCAAGGCTGCAGGTAGATTAGATACAGAATCTGATGGAGAGGGCAAAGAAACATGATTTTGGCCTCTGCAGACACAGTCAGCAAACAACTAGGTGATTTGGACAATAAACTCTTGCATGACTATAGTGAAAACCTTGGCTAAGAGTACAAAGGGGCCAGCAACAGTTGATGGAGCTAACGATGACTCCGATGATGGGGTAGACATTAGTACCCGGGTGAAAGAGGATTCCAGGCTGCAGATGTTGGCACCATAAGCAGGTCTCGAGCAATTTGTAGATTATAAGCTGGGGGTGCCTGTTACAGCAGCACTGTGTACCCCCACTGTGTCTAGAATGAAACATGTTGTGACTGCATGGTTGTAAGGCAACTCAAGGCTCACAGTATGAGGTAAGGTCTAAAGTACTCATAAAACCCATACAGCTTGTAGCAAGTTAAGGTGAGATGGCATTCCATTCTGGAAACAAGGAATGTTTAAAGGTGACCAGCAAGCTATGTACTTGAGGGATCTCTTGCTACCCGGCCCAACCGAAATGAGTCTTCAAAGACCGGGCCAACGCTGAAGCAATGCAAGCAGCTTTGGACCTGGGAAGTTGCACAGCGGCTATTAGAATGGAGTCTGGAAAGTGCCCTATGCACAATACAGTACCTGGTGGTCTGGATGCAGCACTACAAAAGTCAAGCTGAGAATAACAGCATCAGATAGCTGCAACTGAAGAGGCAAGCTTTAGGAGTGATGTAGAGAAGAGCGTTGACTAAAGAATTAAGTCTTAAAAAGTAAAAAAGGTGCTAGCAAAAAATAGGTTAGTCTTTGGAGAGGATGTCCTCCTAGGACACTAGGAAAAAGCTGAGGCATGGTGGTAATGGGGGGGGGGTTATCATAGGCTGGACCACAGTTTTTTTTGCGCCAGTGTCCAATCCTCCTGTCAGTATGACCCAAAGACGGTAGGCTTCCTGTGTCCCTCAATAGACAATGATCCATGCTTGCGAAGAAACCAGATGAAAAACTTGACTTTAGTTCTGATAACCTGAGTCAGGGCAACCCCCGATGGCTAGACACAAGAACCAAAAGGCCGAAACACTTAGCTTCTCATTGGCCATCTCTGACTAAACATTAATTGTAAAAAGCCCTTTAACAGGTGGCAAATACTAGGGTACTGATCACCTGACCAGCCACCAGAGGAAACTCCTTTACCAAGCTAATAAAGTCTAGAGTAACTTTACCATTGATAAGCCAGGGGGCTGTGAGCGCTCTGGAATGCCAGCTTGTCTGTAGATATCTCCAACACTAGCAGCTGTGCGTTGTGCATCTAACCTGTTTACAGATGAAAGATGATACAGATCAAAAACATTCTTCAAATAAATTGTATAAAAACATTTCAGTAATAGTATAAACAGTTATTCTAGAAAAAACTATTACTTATTTGTGAATATCTGGCAATGTCTATTAGCTATTACTGGAGTTACAATGAAACTGTATAGTATTTCATTAATCCTATGCATAAATACATAAAGCATCAAATCAAAAAGCATGCCACACATTGTCCCATGTCACACATATCAGTTTTTCTCTACCACTAACTTCAAGTCCTGTCCTAAGATGATACTTAAACTTCAAGTCTCACTGCACATCGTTTGCTCAAAGCAGAGCATATTTACTGTTCACATTGTAAGGTGACGTTTGGGAGCACATAGCCACTTCATCAGGCAAGCAGTGACAATCATGGCACAAACCATGTGTATGTAAGAATATTCCTCGGCGTCCTAACGTCTAATGCAGCTGCATTAGATGTGATGTCACAGGTCCTTAGACCGCTAAAGCCTGAGGAGGAAGAGTCTGCAGGGACCTGTCTAACAGTCAAGTGGGACCAAGGATCAGATCTTTTATTTTAGCCCCTAGACCAAAATGAACAGTTAGCCCTTTCAGTAAGGGGGGAGCCCGACAGCAAGGGTTGATTTTTACATTTCCTGGAGTTTCTCTATTTAAGTATAGACCTATTGATTCTGGGTGTGTATCCATCAAACAACCATTCTCTAAAGTAATGGACTTTTTTTTTCTACAAGAGCACATTAAAAACTTTCCCTGCATATAGCAGGGACACGCAAGATTTTTTTAACAGGTCTTTATAGTTTCCATCCACAAACACAGAAGGTCCTGTTGGCTATGATGGACATTACGACGCTGTATAATTTGATTCTCAACAAGTCAAGGCGGTTGGGTACTTTCTGCTGACGGATCCGATTTCGAATATGCCGACTTCAACTTCTATTAGCAGGACTTGAGCTCATTCTTTCAAACTATTTAATTTCCTTTGCATATATTAACAAATATGTGGGACAGTAATAGGCAGCTCTCCTGCTCCATCATTGGCCAATTTACTTTTGGCCAATGATGGCCAAAAGTCGCTCGTCGCGGTCGCAAGTCGCTTCTACAGGACCCTTTTTTTCTTTGCGGAATTCTCTTTTTCTAATGGAGCCCGACGGAGAAGGTCGCGCTACCGTCGCTGGAACGCCCCCCCTCGAAAGTCGCGCTATCCCGGCCGCTGCAAAAGGTATGTCGCTATGTGTGAATGGGGCCCTATAAATATCTTTCCCTCGGCACCACTTGGTGATAACATGTAGCTGTGGAGAAGGTATATTGATGACATTTTCATGTTACAGGGGGACTCTTGGAGGAACTGATTGCATTTGTGAAGTTCAATAAATCAATGTTTCCCGGCATTTCATTTAGCCAGATACAATTTCTAGATATTGATGTGTCAATTGGCGGTAGGAGATGGATAACATCTCTTTTCCGCTAAAACTGACTAATTGGAATACAGTGTTGCATGACAGAGTTTGCATGCCAGATTCCTGATTCAAGGACTGCCCATCTCACAGCTTCTGTGACTTTTCAGAATCTGCTCGGAGACAGAGGATTGTGAGTGAGCTTAGAGCGATGGCTACTTTACAACACACACAGTGACCATTGGGAACACAAGTAGCCACCCTCCAGAAGGAAGGACAGTGTTAGCACCAATTCAGAGATGATTTGAGGATCTACCGCTGACTGATATACAAATAAGCTACATTTCTGTTAATAGTTAAGGTATTTGCACTGTTAAGTGCTGCGTAAATTGCCAGCACTATATAAATACCAATAATAAACAAAAACAAAAAAAAAGGTACCTGAATGCATTTTTAAGATTGCTGTGAGAGATACCTCAATGCAAGCTGTGAGATATACCTCAATGCAATATATTTACTGAAATAAAACAATTAATTGGAGGTAGCTTAATAAATATATACCTTGACTGTGAAGGTGGGAGTGCCAATGCCAAAGACTGTGCAGCTGATTCACTGGGCATCCTCTGGATCTGAGTATCAGCTGTCAAAGCAAGACCTAAGAAATGGGGATACCATATGACATGTTAAAAGGCAGTATGAAGATGGCTTTGCATTTTGGTTTCTACTGCATGTGTCTTAGCGACTGTGTGTAATATGTACAACTGGGATAGTACATGGCTGTTCTTTGTGTTTATAATCATAGCTGCTAAGAATTAGAAGAAGCATATGGATTTAAAACTATGTTAGGATTACACAAATGATCACTTGAAGGGTAGGTGTGCATTTGAATAATGGAAAAATGAACACCTGACTTAGGGCAATGGGCAGAAAATACTCTGCAGACCTTTTGTCCATTTTTAGTGCTTGACCAGATACAACATGGCAAGCTCCATCTGAAGCTTCAAGTTTCCCTAATCCAAGTATGGTCTAACATGACTATGGATAAAAGCATATGAGTCAGTCATTCCCCACCCCTGACAAACTTCTAGATCTTTCAGCTACCAATGTAATTTTATTTTCCATCCCCTTTGTGAAATACCCCAATACACAAAAATATATGGGAAAGTTAGAATAGTCCATATAAAAAGCAATTAATGCAAAATTAGATTTAAAATACTCAATAAATGGCATGGATGGGTACATCAACAGTTTATATTGAGATAAAAACACAAATCTTACTGTTGCACAATGCATGCATAAACCAGTTAAAAGTGACAAAAATACCTTTAAATCAGCAAATAACATTACTCTCGCTAGTAAGACGGTGATTATAAGATATGGGAATATCATACCAAATGTTTAAAGACCCCCACAATGCACATCTTGTCTTTTTTTACTAAACAAGGTCAGTCAACACTTCACAGGCATGCCAAATCAAGGGCAGCTGTAAACAGAGAGGCGGGCAGAGGCACTGTGAGTAAAGCATCCAGCAATTGGTGAAAACCAGATATCAGATTTTATTGACTCATTTTGGGTGCATTGAAATAAGAAAAAAAACAAAAAACTTTTAGACTAGTCCAGTGTTTTTCAACCTTTTTTGTGCAAAGGCACACTTTTTTCATGAAAAAAAATCACGAGGCACACCACCATTAGAAAATCTTAAAAAAATTTAACTTTAGTGCACACTCTTCATACATTTAAGTGCTGGCCAAGGCCTGAGTATTTAAGCACCACACACCTGGGTTGAAAGTGTAAAGTGTATACATATCTCAAATAAAAATACATTTTTATTCAGAATTGTCTTTTGGCACCATTAAAGCCCCACTTTTTTTCTTTTTCTTTACACTAGTCAAGTGCACACTGCTGGTGTGTCATGGAAAAGAACCCCCTCACCTTCCCAGTTGCTAGGAGCGTGACAAGACCTGCAGAAAGGGGGGTCCTCTGAGGGATGCTGGCAGAATTGCCTCTATCAATGCTCCGGCTCAGAGCTCCTGTCACGTCACCGGCTCCTCCCTCCGAGCTGGAGACGTGACAGAACCTTTCATCGCTCCACCCCTCCGTCTCTGTCACTGCTTCATCTTTTCTCCACGCCGTCACTACTCCACGCCCCCCTGCTCTGTCACGCGGCTGCATCACCGCTCTATACCCGGTCACCGCCGCTCCACGGCCCCAGCTATGTCATCGCGGCTGCTCCACGCTCCCAGCTCTCGTCGCGGCTCCATTGCCGACCCGCGTCCCCTGCTCTCGCACCGGTATGATTGGTCTATTTGTGAGCCAAAGCCGCGGCACACCAGACAATATCTCACGGCACACTAGTGTGCCGCGGCACAGTGGTTGAAAAACGCTGGACTAGTCAACAGTCTAGCATTTAACATTATGATGAACAGAGTTAAGAAAATAAAGGGGCTACCAGCTTCTGAAGTCAAATTGAGGTTAGCTCATTAACTCTATACCTATTCCAAGACACTGACTCAGAAAATAATGGGATCAACGTGAAAACCAATCAGAAGATGAGGCCCGCAATGGCAGACAACTTTGCCCTTAATACAGGTTTCCTCTAAAGAGAGACAGAGACAGATACGTTTTGTAAAATATTTAATAGAAATAGGTAAATTACCTGGGCCTGATGGATATGGGTGTGTTCCAGTTATCATGTATTCAGACTCAAGACCTAATGAAACAGAACACAATTATGCAGATGTATTTTACTTCCTAAATATATTAAAATATACATTTTACTTTGAAATCCTTAACAACTATGTTATAGCTCGCCTGTAGCCATCAAAGCAAACAACCGCAAACATGCTTTGTCTTAATAGCAGGTCCCTATGTCAATAGACTGGATTGATTTATGCCAGAAGTAGTACTATGTCGTGCTGGTAGCTGGAAAACAGATAGCAAGGTCGCTGATTCTGCAGAGGGATTCTGGGCAAGCCAGAGTACAGTTATGTGATCCTCTTCATAGTGTGTACTATGGAAGGGGGCAGCCTGTGACCATGCCAACTGAAGTCAGAAGAAGCTATTTCACACAAAGTACACACATCTTTCTCTGCTGATATGAAAGATCTGTACATAAGTTATTCTAGACCAGGGGTGCCCATAAGGTCGATCGCGATCTACAAGTCGATTGCGTAGCGATCACTGGTAGATCGCCATGTCCTCTCCTCCCGCTGCTTCTCTGGATCCCCGCTGCTCTCCCCAGCGGGGATCCGAGAAGAAGTGAAGGAACCGGCGGCGGGGGAGGGCGGAGGACGGAGCCGCTGTCACTAACTAATGCAGAGCAGTGAGGAGAGAGAGAGACGCTCGGCCAGGATCTGACAGCCGGCGCCTCAGAATGAACAGGAAGTGATGTAAAGCATTTCCTGTTCATTCATAACTGGAGACACATAGTACTGATCAGCTGATCGCTCCAGCGTTTGCTCTGCACGGAGGATGGGTAGATATCACTGATATCTACCCATCCTCCACCGCTCAGCCACACACAGAGCTCAGCCTTCAGCTTTCCCTCTGGATGCCCGCTGCTCTCCTACCTGCCTGTATGCAGTGGGGATCGAGGAGAAGTGAAGGAAGCGCTACAGCAGGGGGGGAGGAGGGAGCCGCTGTCACTAACTAATGCAGAGCAGTGAGGAGAGAGAGAGACGCTCGGCCAGGATCTGACAGCCGGCGCCTCTCTCTCTCCCCTCACTGCTCGTCCGTTGTGTCACAGCGGCTCCGCCCCCCCCATCCCGCGGCTCGTCGTATGCACGGGAGAGCAGGGGATCCAGAGAAGTTGCAGCCCCCCTGTGCGTGGACGAGTTTATTTTTTATAGTAAAAAATAGATTTAAAAAAACTTTGTTTTTTTTCTTGCCTGAGGCGCAAAAGGAGCTGGCTACGGCTATGCTCCCGTGGTGCTCGTGCGGCTGAATGTGTCAGACGCTGCAGATGGAAAGGTGCAGGACACCCTGTGCAACGTCGGCCACACGAGCACCACGGGAGGACAGGACGCCGGGACCTGTAATGTACTGGAATGCACTGGAATGTAAGCAGGCCGACTCCCTGCATTCCGGTGCGCGAGGGGGTGTGGAGCTGTATTGAAGTCAATGGCATCGCCCACAGTGCGATCGCCCGCACTCGGAACGCAGGCACATTAGTGCCTGCATTCCGGTCCAGTGCGATCTGCAAAAATAGTGCTCGCAGCATTTTTGCGGATCGCACTGGACTGGAACACAGGCACTAATACAGGCGATCGCTCTGTGGGCGAGGGGCCTGCCTGTGCAGCCCACGCCTCCTCCCGCCCCTGAACGCAGGTGTTTTTTCGTTGGTAGATCTCAATGAGCTCGTCATTTGAAAAGTAGATCTCCAGATGAAAAATAGTGGGCGCCCCTGTTCGAGACACACTGATTTCTAATGGCTAAGATGTTAATAGTAAATTATACATTTTTATTTATACATCAGGACATCTGATGAATAGTTAAAGCATTATCCAATTGGCTACAGGTCAACTTTAAATAATGTTTAGAATTCAAAGATCTGAACTGCTCTCCTGGCCATCAGATATGACATTGCTCTTACAGTAGGCTACGATTATTGAAATCCTGTGAAAACACTCATTGCCAGTCTGTTGTCTTGACCCAATGGCTACTAATATTTTTACTGACTTGAAATACATGTACAGATGTGTGTAGTCAGAGTAAAGCTCAAAGTCCTTATCTGCATAGGTGTTCTGGGTGAGCGAGGTATTGAAGCAATGAGGTCAGCTTGGCAGCCAGGTAAGCCAGTAATGGCAGCCTCCATGTTTATCTCAGTAAAGGTTTACAATGGACGTCTTTGTATGTTGGATCCAGACAGCCATTATAGAAGCTACATAGCAGATACAAAGATAACTATCTGAAAGTGGGGGAAAGCAGTCCAACCTTTGTCTCCTCTGCATGGAGTAGAAAGCCCAGAACCTCTTCCCTTAAAAACAAGACGGTGGGTCTAATGTGATAAAGGTCATCAGAATAAAAAAGGCCTGTAACTGTTTTTTTTTTACAAAAGGTAAAACTGCTCAATTGGGTAATTGTACAAAAAGCCACAAAATATAATAAATCATGCTGATTAAAACATCCAACAGACCTTGATTAGTGGTATAGTGCTCATATGAATCACCAATGGCAAGCTGGGCCTTATCACGGGTTTCTTTAGGTTTGGGCATGTGTAGTACAGGGCCGTATTCAGTCCGTAATTTCACAGACATCTTTAGCTTGTGACTAATAGGAAGGAAACAAAAAATCTAGATCAGCAGAAAGCATAACATTTATTAAAGTGTAAATCCACCCAAACCTTTTACTTTTTTAGTTTTGGATAGGGTGAGGAAGGATTAGAACCCCTATTAAGTTTTAATGCTATTCTCTGTTCTGTTACAAGGAATGTCCTAACTTGCCAACGCATTGACAGTGTATCACCAGACAGGGTGAGGGAAAGCTTGGAAAGAGACAGACACAATACAAAAGGTTAAAAGGAGAACTATGAGGTGGCATGCTTGTACATTGTACAGCAGTGAACACATTAAGTGCACCATAACATAACTGTGCCGGTTGCTATGAATGGGCCTAAAGCCGAGTGACCTTATGGATTAGCAAAGGTATGTTTACTACAAGAATGGCTTGTTAAAATGACAGCCTTTGGCAGGTAAAACAGTAAAAATAAGAGGTATTACAATCATGTATTTAGCCATTTGCCTGTAGTTCAAATTTCAGTCTGCTCCTTGGCAAGCAAGGAATGGTAGCGCGTTTCGGGTATGATGAGGCACTGAAAACCTCTGCATATTCTATACAAAAAAATAGTTTTGGGGAAGCTAATTTTTGAATACTGACTTGCAGTCATGTCAAAGGCAGTGAAAACTGCAGATGGTGAGACTTTAAGCCCTGCTCTATGCCTAGCGTTAGTTACAGCTCATTTCAATTTATTATAATGAGTCATTCTGCATTCTAACAAATGCAATGTCAATTGCCTAATTTGACATAGGCTGGATGAAAACTGCACATACACATTGTTCCTTATCCATTACATGTACTTCTACAAAAGAAGCATCAAGTGGATTCATTTTGTTCAGGCAAATGATCAGCAACCACTTCCCGCTCTGAACCTACACAGCAGGTATAAATGATATCCTGTTTGCTGTTCTACATTACTTATTGCACATAAAAAGGAGAAGAAAATAACACTTGCCAGCGAGATGCAGGTCATTTAATTCACCACATACTGTTTAGGGGAGTCTTCAAACATGCTTGAATTGCCACTACCATCAGTGCCTCTGCTTTATAGCTTAAATGCATTGTCTGCTCAGGCTGACCACAAATTTACTTAAAAACAAAAAGAGAGAATTCACTGAAAAGGATTACCGTATATACTCGAGTATAAGCCGTCCCGAATATAAGCCGATGTACCTAATTTTAGCAAAAAAACCTGGGAAAAAGTATTGACCCGAATATAAGCTGAGGGTGGGAAATGAGGAAGCTACTGGTAGATAGATACCAATAAAATTACATTAATATTTATTTAAAAGAAAAATAACCTAGCTCTGTAAGTGGAAAAGGGGGTACAGGGCTACATATCATGTACTACGGATCATTTAACCCATTCATATTAGCAGAGGATAATTGTAAATCTATTGTTCAGTGCACTCTATATGTAGTATATAGTACATGTACATATAGAGTGCCTGCAACAATACATTTACAATGATCCTCTGCTAACATGAATGGGTTAAATGATCCATAGTACAGGGCTACATACAGATCATTTAATACATTCATGTTAGTATAATTGTAAATGTATTGTCTGCACTGTATTAGCAGTATATACTCTATATAGAGTATATACTGCTAATACAGTGCAGACAATACATTTACAATTATACTAACATGAATGTATTAAATGATCTGTATGTAGCCCTGTACTATGGATCATTTAACCCATTCATGTTAGCAGAGGATCATTGTAAATGTATTGTTGCAGGCACTCTATATGTACATGTACTATATACTACATATAGAGTGCACTGAACAATAGATTTACAATTATCCTCTGCTAATATGAATGGGTTAAATGATCCGTAGTACATGATATGTAGCCCTGTACCCCCTTTTCCACTTACAGAGCTAGGTTATTTTTCTTTTAAATAAATATTAATGTAATTTTATTGGTATCTATCTACCAGTAGCTTCCTCATTTCCCACCCTCAGCTTATATTCGGGTCAATACTTTTTCCCAGGTTTTTTTGCTAAAATTAGGTACATCGGCTTATATTCGGGACGGCTTATACTCGAGTATATACGGTAAGCGTGAAAATACAGTCATGAAAACATACCCTTCTTCATCTAAAGACACGCTTTTAGCATTGTCAGCCACAAACATGTCATGGGTCCTCTTCAGAGATCGGAACACCAGCGTGTGGACAGAGTGTTTCTGCACATCCTGGGAACAAAATTAGTATGTGATTAGAGGCGTGCATAAAAAGAAAAAAACATGTAGAACTGAACAGCTTACATCAACATCCAGGCATTTTACAATTAGGGAGTTTCGACTGACTGACATCTACCAACTCCAGCAAAATCCTTTTACTTTGTATTTGTGAGGAAGACAGGTGAAGGCTGAACTCCATGAAGGTGTAAACAAATAAAAAAAAAGTATCTTAACCCATAAACATAAAATATTGCAGCTTACCAGTCCTTAGATGTTGGTGGCCCCATTATCGTAAGGGAAACACATTCCAAGCAACCTGTCAGCCTCTATATGTATGCTTATGAAACCCAACACAGACACTACCTCTTTGTCCAATTACTGACCGATTTCACACCCTGATTGCCAGAAATCAAGTGTGGGTTTATCCCACAGAGGCAGATGGAGGACAATACCCATCACAAATCCCATTTAGTACACATATACTCCACATGCTGCTCTCCTTTAACACCAAAAATGTGCAGGGCCAACTCTTCTTACGATTACAGAGGTGGGGCTTCGGCCAACACATTTTGTAAGCGACTAAAGTCCTTTATTCAAAAATGATGGCATGTACCCTATGTGGGCCATCGGTCTGAACTGTTCCATATATGCAGAGGTGCCATGCAAACCGGCTATCTACTTCAACTATACCTTGTATCAGGCTCATCTTGTATCTACTAAAAACCTGGAATGACTAACATCTCCGGGATAGGCAGGATAGCAGCATTAGTCCTGGTACACAGTGACTGTGTACCAGGACTAATCTGTGTACCACATAGCCAGTCTGTGGGAGCGAGAATTATTGTTGGTTGGTAGGGGATCAAAATACTTATTTTACTCACTGAACTGCACCTCAATTTATAACATTTGTATCAGGTGGTTTTTGTGGATTTTTGGTTGATATTCTGTCTCGATCATGTAAAATACACCTATGATAAAAATTCTATGCAAGTGGGCAAACTTAGAAAATCTGCAGGGGGGTCAAATAATTTATTTTTCTCTCTGCAGCTCAAAATTGTTCCTCCATAATTTCACAGCTGCACGAAGAGTGACTGTGCGCTCCTGGAAGACCCCTAAGCTTTCCCTCCTACAGTTTTCCATATTTCACGTTGAAAACACAGACAAAAGGCTATAAAGCTAGATTTTGGGTAGTCAAGCATGCTCCAATATTTTACAGCAACTAATCCAATCCAAACATCATTTGGCCCTCAGTTGGGTCAAGTAGGCATTCTGAGCAATAATAGCAAGTTCTGAGCAAGTGTTCTTCCTCAGCGAGTGCTTCTTGAAAAATAAGTTGGTTAAGCCATGAAGAAAGATTCTGAAAGTTCACAAAAGATGGGCAAATTATTTGTAAGGTCTGCCCATGAACAATCCATGAACTGTTGAGAGCTCAAAATGGCAGATTAGAAAATCCCCATCACTAATGTTTACCCCAAGATAAATGATGCCAGCATACTCTGCCTACACAATACCCCACTCAATTCTAGTCTTAGCATTGCCATAATTTTCTTAGCAGCAGGACCAAGCATGCAAATTTCTGAAGGCTTCGGAAAGACCTAAGATTTCCTAGCATGATGGAGGTTAGCCAATACTACAGCCAAACATCCTATTATGTCTATAGGCAGCCTAAGGTCCGATGCACACAAGAATTAAAATACATGCGTCCAAGTGCATATGGAGCCAATTTCTATAGGCACCTCTAACATGAAATGCTTTGCTATGGCTTAATGTGCACCTAGACATTCAGCAACATCTAGGTGCATTCAGTGAAGCTGTGTTTACACAAACACAAACTTTCTGCATCCTGGGACCATTTACACCTGGTTTTACACTAAATGTGTGGAATGCAGGAAAAAGTGATCTGGGAAACAAAAAAGCTGTTAATAGTTTCCATATAACGAGCCCGGGCACATTGGGTCTACATCTGTAAAACAACAACTACACATTTGCCCTGTTGCCCATCACAAGAGGTATGAAGTAGGTGGGTGTACAGCCAGGGTCTGTAAGAAAGCCCTTTGAATGAGTCAAAAACTACAGCACTGAAAAGCACAACCATCCAATTAGAAGAATTGCTACCAGGCATGATGGTAAATACTAGTGTGAATGCATTCAGATAGCATACTGGCAGGTAAAGAATACCAGCAGAGAAGGAGATTAGATTCTGCACATTATTAGCAGTTTGGCTGGATGGTGAGGCAAACCACATGCTGCACAATTCAAATGCTCTCTAGTCTTCCAAGCAAATAATTATGACTACAGCAGTCTCACAGCTACACCAATGTTTGATAATGAGACAAGTCCCTAAAGTAGGATTGTATTTACACTTTTAATAACTGATGCAATCTTCACTTCATGCAAATTATATGCAGGCTACTAATACATTTTATTTACAGCAGCAGAACATTTAAAATGGTGGCATCACAAATAACCAAATGTTTGCTACTTCCTAGCCTTTTCTGAGACATATTTTATTATTTTTTGCAAGCTACCGTCTCCTCCTGCTCCTACCGTCTCACATTTTCCTCTCCCCAGGCTCTCCTCCTCTATCTTCTCACTCCGCTCAGGGCTACAAATGTTACCATTAGGCCTCATTCACACACAACGCAAGCAAAATTGTATATTGCGTATACAAGCGTCTATGCGCGTATATACAAGCGTCTATGCGTGCACTATATGCAATCCCAGAATGCATCACTCGTAATGGAATTTTTAATGTGCTGTACGCATGTACGCACGTAAATACGCAGAAATACGCTGCCCGGGCACATCTCTGTTCTATTCCGTCTTTGTGCATATATACGCTACGCAAATATACGGCTCCATACGCGGCTATGTGTATGGAGCCATTTATTTGCATGTGTTGCATATGATACAATACGTGCGTATATGCGCGGCAGTGTGAATGAGGCCTTACAGTTTACCACTGCCGAGCAGGTAGCCGATACTCAGGGCAGGATAAGCTAATTGCAAGAGCTCTTAGTACCTTTCTGAATGTGGTGTAAATATACTACATTCCGGCAATTGTGATCCTTTTACCAAGCATAAACATGTTCACCTTCAGCTATAGAGGTAGAAAACATCTTGGTATGCATCCCAAAGATGGAGGTTTCCAAGGCTCTGAATGCTCTAAATTACATGTCTCAGAGGACAACGTTTTCAATCGTCGATTTTAATCGACTAAATCGATTAACTGTTGCAGCTCTAGGAGGAACATTCAATTCTTGGTAATATTTTTTTTCACTTGTTGATGACTGTCTTCACGGTGTACAATGGTATATCTAATGCCTTGGAAAAATATGTTGTACCCTTTAATGACTGATACCTTCCAACAATGAGATCCCTTTGTTGCTTTATAAGCTCCTTGCACACCATGGCAAAAATGAAAAATCCAACTAGAACAACCAAACTTTTCATGGGCTTAATCAGATACACTTTAATTGATGGCAGACATGTGCTGACTACTATGTAACATCAATTTGAATGTGATTGGTTAATTCTGAACACAGCCACATCCCTAGTTATAAGAGGATGTGTTAAAAAGAAATAAAATAATGTGCAGCCACATTTTTTTTTTTCCACCTAAACCATTTCAGTTTTTGTTTGTTTTTCCCTCCCAAGTATACAAAACACAACACCTACTGGCAACAACATTGCGTTCCAGTGCATTTGGCCTCTGGAACACAACCCGGCCGGCTCACTTTGTTTTGGGGCAGGAAGGGCGTGGTGGTGCATTGAACTCAATGGCACAGCAGCCATGCCCGCCCTGTGATTGCGAGCACCGGAGCACGTGGCACATTAGTGCCTGCGTTCCAGTCCAGTGCAATCTGCAAAAAAAAGTGCATGCAGCATTTTTTTGCAGATCGCACAGGACCGGAACGCAGGCACGAATGTGCCACGTGTTCGGGATGCCGGCGATCGCACTGCGGGGCGTGGCTGCGGTGCCATTGAGTTCAATGCACCGCCACGCCCCCTCCCACCCAAAACAAAGTGAGCCGTCCGGGTTGTGTTCCAGAGGCCAAATGCACTGGAACGCACTCTTGATGGTGTGACTGTGCCCTAAGGGCCTGTTCACATGAGTTTCAGGTCCTGATCAGGTGCGGATCAGCAGACGCGGTGCTATGTGTTTTGCCTCGTTTTTGATGCGTTCCTGGAGTGGGGCTGTCAGTATGTTAGCTGCAGTGCAGTGCGTTTGACGCATTTTGCGTTTCCGGACAAAATGTGACATGCAGTATTTTTCTGTCGTAACCTGAACGGACTGCGCACATGAGAACTGTAGCCCATAAAACACATAGGGATACATTGGGATGCATTTTTAGTGCAGGAGCGTACGGATCAGGTCAGCACAGAAAACGGACATTGTTTGAACAGGCCCTAAAAGGTGTAAAAAAAAAAATCTGAAGTGATTTATCTTGATATGCTGTTTTTTTACATCTCAAAAACCTGGCATATCTACAGGGTGTGTAGACTTTTTATATCTCTGCTGTACTTAGGCAGCTTTAGTATTTGGGCTTCCATACACTAATCTATTTTTCTATTTGGTCATCTTGGACTTTAGCATTAGTCCCATTGATGCTCCATTCAAAACACGGCCAATTGAGTTGTATAGATTATAGGTCACAATAGGGCTGTATTCACACCTTGGCAACAGCGTCTTCGCTGCATGTTTTTTTGCACATTCTATGCGCGTACATTAAGTCGACTGTTTTTGCAAGCTCATTATGACAACTTGATATAAACGGGCAACGCATGTAAAACATGAGCAAAAACACCGCAAATACATGTGTTTGAGCGTTTCCATTGAAGTCTATTGAGCCAAGAAACGTTTAAACTGCCAGAAAAGAGCTCATGTACTTTTTTCCAGCGATAGGCGTTTTGCTACAAGCGACAGAATGCTCAGATGTGAACATGGCTAGAGAAATAATTGGGATTTTGTTTTGGGCGTTATTTTTAGCACCTTTTAGGGCACAAAAAGT